CAGAAGCCAGCGGAATCGGCAGCCCCGGGTGCTGCTCAAGGTCTGCATGCGGTGTCGGGGGGCTTCGCGGGAAGGCAGAACACTGAGAGGGGACACGCACATCCCTCCCCAGAGCTATACTCTGTGCTGGCTGAGAAGGGAGGCCACCACAGTGCACCCCGCGGCAAGAAGCATCAAGGCCCCAGACATCCTCAAGCACAGGATGAGGCAGAGGTTTGCAGGCGATGCTGTCTACACTGCGGCTCGTTTCACCGGGAAGCATGACCGTGTCCCACAGGGACAGCACAGTCCTGCTTGCTGCCCCCCTCCCACAGAGCCACTGGATCCCCACCGAGCACCAAAGCAGCCTTAGGGCGAGCACCCAAACACCCAAGGAGACGCAGGACCGCACCATGGGACAGATAAAGCTCCTTTTGGAGACCCCAGGCACAAACACTGGAAAGTTCAGGATGCACCAACACCCACCGACACTCCCTGGGCACTGCTGCGCACCACCACACTGCCCAGTCCCCAGACAACACGCCGCCCCTACAGCCCCCACAAAAGCAGCACAAAGGATGCCCAACCTCCCTGGCAGCAGCCCCTGACTCTTACCAGCCAGCTCCTGCTCCCCAAACCAGGACAGCCCTCTGCACCCTCCCCACATTTATAGCCTCCAGGTGCCCCATGGCCCTGGCAGCATGCGTCCCACCTGGGCTCTGTGGTGTGGGACCAGCTGGGATGGATGGGGAGGGAATGGGGAAGGATGGGGCCTTTTCAGGGAAAAGCATGGCTTTCCCTGTTACAGGTTATAAAACATTCCAAGGATGGATGTCAGGATGAAAAGTGTAATCGCAAATCAGCTCTGCTGCTGTCCTGCGTCTCCAGACCTACGCAAAGGCAGAGAAGGTTTAATTTCTTTCTTTTGGAGCTGCTTTTTTTTTTTTTTTTCCCCTATTTTTGTTCTTTCCCATCTGTCCTCCTAATTTTGGTATAAAAGAAAAAGGAGTAAATAAAAATTTTGGAAAGCCCTTGAAACCCTGGAGGCCCAGGGCACAGGAACCACAATGCTTTGGATTTTCAAAACAAAAATGAGGTTAGAAATAAAAACTTTATTTAACTGAGACTGGGGTGAAAACTTCATTTCATACTTGGCAACAAAGCTGGATCTCCATCACCCTCTTGCTCTGGCAATTGCCTCATTTGACTTGGTGCTGCCCTAGAGGTATTTCTGCAGCTCTGGCAGTGTGTGGGATCTTGTCATCGTCCTTGGAGCAAGCAGACATGGCCACACTACTGCCCAAATGCTCTTGGTGTTACCTGCAAACATTGGGAGCTCACTTAGAAACACTTCCCTGAGGAAACACCAGTGGCATGCTGGGGAGCGGACCCATGTCAGGTGCTCGCCTGAGTTTTCAAGGACATTCTCCCAGCACCGGCCATCCTGGGGGCATCCAGGTTTCTGGATTTTTAACAATCTGAGAGAGACACAAAGAAGGGAAAAGGTCACAAAAGCAGCTATGTGGGACTATGTCCCCTCCCCAGCCCACCCCATTGGTGTGCAATAGCAGCCACACAGAAGACACCGGCACAGCTCAGCATAATCTTTTTAAAACTTTATTTCCAGAGGTCTTGTGCAGCAAGATACAGCTTGATGCCTGTCCCTGAGCCTCTGCAGGAGTTTTAGGGGGGGCATTTCTGAACGATTCCTGACCCCGTGGCACCTCCTGCGCAGGGACTACAGTGCATCAGGGTGAGTGGCCAGAGCCCCACCGTCCCCGCCCA